CTGAAGAACTATGGATGGAGGCTCGTAACATTGTACAGGAGGCAGCAACGAAAACCATCCCAATGAAAAGGAAATGCAAGAAAGCAAATTGGCTGTCCAACGAGGCCTTACAAATAGCGGAGGAGAGAAGGCAAGCAAAATGTGAGGGAGATAGTGAAAGATACAGGAAATTGAATGCAGATTTCCAAAGAATAGCAAGGAGAGACAAGAAGGCCTTCTTAAACGAGCAATGCAAACAAATAGAGGAAAACAACAGAATGGGAAGAACCAGAGATCTGTTCAAGAAAATTGGAGATATGAAAGGAACATTTCGTACAAAGATTACCATAATAAAGGACAAAAGTGGTAAGGACCTAACAGAAGCAGAAGACATCAAGAAGAGGTGGCAAGAATACACAGAGGAATTATACCAGAAGGATATGGATGTCTCGTACACCCCAGGTAGTGTGGTTGCTGACCTTGAGGCAGACATCCTGGAAAGTGAAGTCAAATGGGCCTTAGAAAGCACTGCAAATAACAAGGCCAGTGGAAGCGATGGTATTCCAGCTGAACTATTTAAAATTTTAAAAGATGATGCTGTTAAGGTGCTACACTCAATATGCCAGCAAATTTGGAAAACTCAGCAGTGGCCAGAAGATTGGAGAAGATCAGTCTACATCCCAATCCCAAAGAAAGGCAGTGCCAAAGAATGCTCCAACTACTGCACAATTGCACTCATTTCACACGCTAGCAAGGTTATGCTTAAAATTCTACAAGGAAGGCTCAAGCAGTATGTGGATCGAGAACTCCCAGAAGTGCAAGCTGGATTTAGAAGAGGCAGAGGAACCAGAGACCAAATTGCAAACATGCGCTGGATTATGGAGAAAGCTAGAGAGTTCCAGAAAGACATCTACTTCTGCTTCATTGACTATGCAAAAGCCTTTGACTGTGTCGACCACAGCAAACTATGGCAAGTTCTTAAAGAAATGGGAGTGCCTGATCACCTCATCTGTCTCCTGAGAAATCTCTATGTGGGACAAGAAGCTACAGTTAGAACTGGATATGGAACAACTGATTGGTTCAAAATTGGGAAAGGAGTACGACAAGGCTGCATTTTGTCTCCCTGCTTATTTAATTTGTATGCAGAATACATCATGCGAAAGGCTGGGCTGGATGAATCCCAAGATGGAATTAAGATTGCCGGAAGAAATATCAACAACCTCAGATATGCAGATGACACAACCTTGATGGCAGAAAGTGAGGAGGAATTAAAGAACCTTTTAATGAGGGTGAAAGAGGAGAGCGCAAAATATGGTCTGAAGCTCAACATCAAAAAAACGAAGATCATGGCCACTGGTCCCATCACCTCCTGGCAAATAGAAGGGGAAGAAATGGAGGCAGTGAGAGATTTTACTTTCTTGGGCTCCATGATCACTGCAGATGGTGACAGCAGCCACGAAATTAAAAGACGCCTGCTTCTTGGGAGAAGGGCAATGACAGGCCTAGACAGCATCTTGAGAGGTAGAGACATCACCTTGCCAACAAAGGTCCGTATAGTTAAAGCCATGGTTTTCCCAGTAGTGATGTATGGAAGTGAGAGCTGGACCATAAAGAAGGCTGATCGCCGAAGAATTGATGCTTTTGAATTATGGTGCTGGAGAAGACTCTTGAGAGTCCCATGGACTGCAAGAAGATCAAACGCATCCATTCTTAAGGAAATCAGCCCTGAGTGCTCACTGGAAGGACAGATCGTGAAGCTGAGGCTCCAGTACTTTGGCCACCTCATGAGAAGAGAAGACTCCCTGGAGAAGACCCTGATGCTGGGAAAGATGGAGGGCACAAGGAGAAGGGGGCGACAGAGGACAAGATGGTTGGATAGTGTTTTCGAGGTTACCAGCATGAGTTTGACCAAACTGCGGGAGGCAGTGGAAGGCAGGAGTGCCTGGCGTGCTCTGGTCCATGGGGTCACGAAGAGTCAGACACGACTAAACGACTAAACAACAACAACAACTCCTGTGTATATTAGGAGCCATTCAGTTTTGTACCAAGAGCTAATTGATTGTCAAGAACAGAAAGGGCTTTCCCAGCGACATCCTTCTACTTGTGATACTCTAAACTTTTTCAGTCCATGGGTCACTGTGGGCCAACCCACCAAGGGTCATATCCCAGTGGTAGATGTGGCAAAATTGAAGTGGGTGTGGCCATCTTTGTCTCTCTCAGGAAAATTTGCCCCTCCCCACTGTCATGGTGGTGGAGGAAGCAATTTTCCTTCATATCACCCTCTCTGTTTGAATGGGAAAAGGAGGGAAATCTTGCTAATCTGCATCCCCATCAAGGCACTGGGCTGAGCAACACCCGGTTCTATGGGACATGAAGACTGTATCCTCTCCCTGCAAATCAGAATAGCAGGGGAGAGTGATCAGCATCCTCACCATGGTGCTGGCCAGAGGTGCTCAGCCCAGCGCTATGATGAAGATTGTTCTGTTCCTGCTGGTGCTCTTCAAAGCTGCAAAGTTGGGTTGGGGGATCAATGGGCCATTAGGGAAGGCTTAGCAGGTCAGATCAGGCCCATAGGCCTCCATTTCACTACCTACTATTTAAAGGGTAATGAAATACAACACCACAATTAGTAAATAGCCCAAAATAATAAAACATAATATCCTGCATTTGCATAATATCCTACCAAGGGAAGGCTTCTGCAGAATGTGCTGTAAATAAAGTAATAAATGCATAGGTTAACAGCAACTGTCAGTCTACATTCACCAATAAGGTATTTATGGAAACATGAGGTGGGGCAGAGAGGAGAGGGGGAAAGGAACACACGTCTTGTTAATGAGACCACAGAAGTTGGGACGGTATCTCCAGAGTTTCTAGGGAGTAGGCTAAGAAGTGGGTTATGTCCTAAGTTTATCCCTGTAGGAATGGGTTGTTCAAATATTGGCTTAAGGAGTCAACAAATCAGGTTTTGATTGTCACAGCCATTTGTCTGCCACAGAAATGTTAAACCCTAGCCAAAGAACTAGGCTAAGGCTAGAATAGGAAGATTGCAATGCTGCCCAATACATTCTTTCAGCCCAGCCAGACGCTGCCACTTCCATAGCATGCGCCAATGGTTTTCAAAACTTTCCATCTCCAGCAGTGCCAGATTTACGTATAAGCTAAACAAGCTATAGTTTAGGGCCCCACAAAAATTTAAAGGGGAAAAAACCTGGATGTACATTTCCAAAATATAAGATAAAAAACAAATAAAATAAAACCTACATACAGCAACAGTGTTTTGTGTTGTGTAGGCTCCTATGATATAAGTAATGGGCCCCACCTACTATATAAAGGGCCCCATTACCTTTAGTAGCTTAGGGCCTCATCAAACCTAAATCCGGCCCTGATCTCCAGGGAACCCTTTCCACATAGATGTGCTTGCCATAAACATCCTGTGCTCTGCATAGTATTCTGTTCATGTGCAACTCTGTTGGCCAGGCTGTTGGAATTCACCCTTGTCCAATGTAAGCCAAAGGTGAGGCCTGGAACACATAGTCTTCTACACCAGGCATAGGGAAACTCAGCCCTCCAGCTGTTTTGAGACTACAATTCCCATCATCCCTGACCACTGGTTCTGTTAGCTAGGGATTATGGGAGTTGTAGTCCCAACACATCTGGAGGGCCGAGTTTGCCTATGCCTGTTCTACACTGAAGCACTGGAAGAGGAGAATGGCAGATATAGGCAAGATATCCGGGGAAGGTACCGATTACTCAGTGGTCCCCCGTTAAGGTTCTGAGAAATGCTAGGATTACCTGAAAATGCTATTACCTCAGTCTATGCTATTATCTGGGTCAAGGACTTGGGGACAGAAGGTTAAGTCTTGAACACAGGCAAACTTCATGATGCAGGCTTAGAACTTGCCCGCGTACACAATCCAGTGTTAAGATTTCTGGCCTCTGAATAAAATAAAACCAATTACATTTAACGTCAGTGGCAAGCTCCAAATTGTTTAGCTATTGCTTTACTACTATTTCGTCTATTCAAGACAGACGCACACAGCCTACCCTAATTCAGGATTATCAGGAAGCAAAAGCAGTTGGCACACACACACAAAAAAAGAACAGCAAATAAAGAAAAACCTGTAAAGGTTAGTTTATTTTTAGGTATAGAATCTAAACAGCCAAGCCCCATTAAAGGAGTCACCTTTTGTTTTGCACAGCTCATTATACGTTGGAAGTTTCTTAGCACCACAAGCTTAAATCCCACTTACTAATGCATTCCACTGCTACTTGCGAGAATTCCTCACTTCATTTGATTAGCCCCAGAGCCACGTTTCCATTTGGTTATGAAATAAATGAATGTATATATCTATACTGTTCCCCCCCCGACACCAACTCATGTGTTATTATTCTTCGTCACTCACATAATAATAATAATAAATTTTATTTATATCCCGCCCTCCCCAGCCGAAGCCGGGCTCAGGGCGGCTAACAACAATAAAACAGTACAAAAGTACAGCATAAACATTCTAAAATCATTCATTATAAAAATTAATTAATTCAAGCCACTGGCAACCATTGGGCCAGAGCTCCGCGAAGATTGCCGAGGGAGGGAGTCAGGCTGTGCCCTGGCCAAAGGCCTGGTGGAACAGCTCTGTCTTGCAGGCCCTGCGGAAAGATGTCAAGTCCCGCAGGGCCCTGGTCTCTTGTGACAGAGTGTGCCACCAGATCGGAGCCACAGCCGAAAAAGCCCTGGCTCTAGTTGAGGCCAGCCTAACTTCTCTGTGGCCTGGGACATGCACATAAACATGTTTTCTTAAGAGTGCTAGATATAATGGGACCATTTAATTTATTTAACTGCACTATTCTGTAGCTGCAGTGACCACAATCTCCTCTCCAAGAACACATTCATCCATTTATGCTAAGCCATGGTTTAAAGTTCAGTTTTAAACCAGGTCACAGTATGTACTTCTCTTTCAAATAAGAGACGAAGCTTATGAGTCAGGGTGGGGGGTGGGGTGGGGGGAGAGACCTGTTTGCCTAGACCCTTCTGACCCCTGGATCTAGCAAGTGTTAAAATATAAGCCAGGCTAGCTTCCTGCATTGAGGTGATAGCCTGGGTGATGAGCCATTATGGGAAACAAAGGAAAGGGGCAATACTCAGTATTTACAGCGTACACATTATCAGTGTTAGATTCTGACTAGCCCAAAGGGTCTGAGCAAGTTCCTTTTTGCATAGGTAGAAACCCATTTTTAAACGGGTAAGAAATTAGCATGCAAAAAAATGCCTTTTCTTAAGAAGAAACTTTTCCTTATAGCACGTAGCTGGAAATGCTGCTGCTGCTGTTGCATTTTTAAAAATGGGTTTCTATTGGGGTAGAGCAGGAGACTCTTAATCTCAAGGCCGTGGATTCGTGCCCCATGTTGGGCAAAAGATTCCTGCATCGCTGTTGGTTAGGCTAGATGAGCCTCGTGGTCCCTTCCAATGTTACTATGATTCTATGAAAAGTGTGAACCTGCTCAAGCTCTTGTTGCAGGGTGGGGACCCTCAGTCCCTGAGACCAAATGTGGCCCTCCAGTCCTCTCTTACCTGGCCCTCAGAACTCTCCCCAGACCACACCTCCTTACTCTCCCTGCTTCACAGCCCCAAGTGTTTTTGTCTGCTGGAATGCGTCCCTGAACTCTGATAATTTATCTTGCTTGAATGTTAGGTGAACTGAAAGCAGTGTTGCCGAAGACAAGGATATATCTTTATCTATAAACATAGGCTCCTTCACTTGCAGTGGGAAATGGTATTGTCAAGCAAGAGCTCCATCATGGAAGATTGCCAATTGTGCAGCTCTGCTTATTGAGGGATACTTTTGATCTAATCCGGTATTTAAAAGGTGCATTACTTTCACCCTGCCCAGTTAAACAAACTTGAGTGTTGCAATAGCTTCATCTCTATGTTGCAAGAGCGCACCACTTAAAATCCTAGAACAAGAAATGTTTGTTGTTGGTTACGGCTTGTGGCTGTGCTCAACATTGTTACTTTCCTATAATACCTGCAAATCTGCCCCCTTTCGGCCCGATCTTTGAGTGGTGCATGGAAGATGGTATGTAATAATCCATGAATGAATCCCAAGAGACAATTTGGCAAGCTGTTATTAACAATTAAATGGATAAACACTGCTCCTTTTTAAAGGAAACATAATATGTAAGCACAGAAGAAACAGTTCTGGCCTGAATGGATTGTCTAGAACCTACGGACAGACAAGAGTAGAGTGCCAAGCAAGTTAGGAAACAGAGTGTGTGGGTGTGTCATTCCCAGGGAACCAAGGTCTAGGAAAATGAACCTGAGCTGGTTAAACACTCATTCTAAGCCAGTAGAGTTTAGTGTGAGGCTTCTGTTTCAATGAAGAAGCCAACACTGCATTTGCCCCTTTAAGCAAGTCTCTTGTTCCTTTCCAGAAGGATAGTAATTTCAGGAACAGAAGGATGGAGGACCCAGAAACCTGAACAGGTATAAAACGGTACATAGGCATGTGTAAATTATTTTGAATTACAGTTAGATGGAGGGATAAAGAGATACCCAGGTATGTGGGGGGGGGGGAGCCTCCTTTGCTTTGAAAAGTATTTGAAAAGTATTTAGCAACTTGTAGTAAGCAGAAGCCAAGACCTTCAGGCTACAGGGCGGGGCAGGCACAGGACGGAAGAAGCTAAACTCACCAACCTCTTCCTGTTCACAGGTAGAGATGTTATACATTTGAAGTTCTATTTCCACTCCTGTTCTTTGCATTCCAGCTAACCTATCACAGTTCTAGGATATTGGGCACCCATACCTAACTACCAAGAACTATCAAAATACTTTCAAGTGCAACTTATACAGGAGTGTTTTTTCACGCTCCTTCTTTCCTATTTCAACTAGTGTATGCCAAGTCTTAGGATCAATGCAGTAGTGGAAGCTAAGCCAAGGATCAAATAATACATTTGATAAGGGATAGGGGGGGAGCAACATGCAAGTTATGTAGCAAACAAATACTGTACAGTGGTACCTTGGGTTAAGTACTTAATTCGTTCCAGAGGCCCGTGCTTAACCTGAAACTGTTCTTAACCTGAAGCACCACTTTAGCTAATGGGGCCTCCTGCTGCTGCCACACTGCTGGAGCACGTTTTCTGTTCTCTTCCTGAAGCAAAGTTCTTAACCTGAATCACTATTTCTGGATTAGCGGAGTCTGTAACCTGAAGTGTATGTAACCTGAAGCGTCTGTAACCCGAGGTACCACTGTACAGTGGTACCTTGGGTTACAGACGCTTCAGGTTACAGACTCCGCTAACCCAGAAATAGTACCTTGGGTTAAGAATTTTGCTTCAGGATGAGAACAAATCTCATCCTGAAGAGATTTGAACAGCAGTGGGGGGCCGCATTAGCTAAAGTGGTACCTCAGGTTAAGAACAGTTTCAGGTTAAGAACGGACCTCCAGAACGAATTAAGTTCTTAACCACTGTATGTAGATCTTTGGGTAAGCTTAAACTGTCCCAGGCTCATACTATCTTACAATTTAAATAAATGCAGTGTGTTAAGGGAGAGAAAGATAGTACACAGTAGGGTTGCCATAATTTGAAGAGGAAAAAGAGGACACAAAAAGAGGACACATTTACCGGTGCTTGGGGCAGGGGGCGGGAAGGAGGGGGTGCAGGAGAGAAGATGCTGGCCTAGATAGCCCCATGGTTTGACCCTCCAGGATCCTTTTTATGGTCCTATGCAGAGGCGTAGGTGGGGGAGGCACACCACGGGGCCAGCAGCATGCCCGAGCATGAGGACATTTTTGCAAATACAAAAAATCCGCCAGGACAGAAATTTTACCTGTGGGGAAAAAAGGACATGTCCTGGAAAAAGAGGACATATGGCAACCCTGGTACACAGGGAGAACCCAAGTTTAACAAGAATAATTTCCAAAGTAACTGTAGTTTTCTTACTGAAGTTCACTGGCTAATGAAAGTGTCTAAAAGATATTGAGGGTGTACTCACAAGCAAGCTCCCTCTGCTAAAAAGCCGGTTGGTCTATATTTAGATTTTTGCACAGAAACTGCCCCCCATTGTCAGCCTTTGCATTTAATCAGTCAAACTGTTGTACTAAAATATTGTAAGGTATTTCTAAATACACAGAACAGTCTATAGTACTATTAAGCATGTTGTACTGCCTGGCATCACCTCAGTTCGCTCTGGAGGAGGCAAAAAGCCAATGTGCAGGCTCCAAATATGGTAGATATATACATGACATCTCCAAGCTATTTTTAGCTCTGCTTAAGTGTTTCCATAAAACAGATTTTAAAAAGCAGGAGTGTGCCACCGATTCTCCCGCTGCCTTCTCTCCTATGTGAATTGCCCCTTTTCTCCTACACTCTGCTTCAGGTATAGAAGGGCTAGCCCAAGACAGTTTGGCACCTGAGGCAAACTATAAAATGGCGCCCCTCGCCAGGGGAGAAGGGACTAGTGAAGATCTACATGAAGAACAAGGATGGGAGGAGACCAGCAGCAACTCCTATTTGCCAAGAGGCCACTGTAGATGTGGCATGCGGGGTGGAGGGCTGACGAGTTGGCCTCCAAGGAGTATGCTGTAGATTTTGCTGCTACCATAGCAGCAGCAGCAGCAGCGGGGAATGCTTTCCTTGGATTTTCTGCCCTATGGCTCCTGCTGCCTGAAGCAGTTGCCTCAGCTTCCTTCATGTGTGGGCCAGCCCTAAGGCATGGCGCAGCCTGGTGTATACATATCAGTACTAACAACGACTAATGATTACTAGGATTGCCATCATAATCAGAGCTACAAATCTGCATGTCCTTGCATGAGGGAATCCAGGTGGCATTGGCCATGGTTAACAGGGATAAAGATTCAACACAGAACATAGAAAGTAGGAGGACCAATAGTAATAGGAAGGGAGCAGGCACATTTACAACACACCACTTCTGCTAGGCATGGTTAGTGGCCAAGGGATGTCATGTCTACTCTGCACCAATCCTGGAGACTACACTCCTGGAGACTGTACAAGCACCCTCATTTTCAATGGTTTTCATAGACCTAATGCAGGACTTCTATTGGGAAGTCTGTCTTTTTGAGAAGATGCTGCAATTTGACATAGCCTATTGCTACATACAATAGATACAAAGTCTGTTGAATTGCCCACATATCAAATAAGGCAGGTTCTACACCACCTGCCAACCTAGTTCAATGAAGGAAACTTTGCCACCTTTCTTGAGGAGTTGGCTAGCCAAAACAAGATCTGGACATGTTACAGGTTCCAAATAAGCCTGCAAATATATGGCTTGAACACAGCAACATTTTCTCTTTCAAATGGAGCAAATGAACTTAGCTAACACCTTAGGTACAAAGAGATACCTGGGCTGATCACAATATTGAGGGGGTAATTCAGCCTCTGTGCAAGACCCAGATTAGTACAACAGGCAATAACTTCAATAGGTGTTTACCCAGCTGATGGTCTCATGATCAACACACAACACAAAAACTATCGCACCCCATACCCTTGGGCTTACACTGTCATAAGGAGGTAGGAAAACGTGCATAGGACTGTATCCTAGGAATTGAATGAAGTGGAACTTACTTTTCAGTAGTCATGCCTAGGATTAGTCTGTAAGCAAGCTTAGATGCATACCAAAGTGAGATTCAAACAGATCACTCATACTTTCCCATGGGCAAGTTGATAATATTCTCAACAAAGCATCACAACATGGCCAGAGGAGGACATCATGTATGTAGCACTAAACCATGGTTTAATGTTACTTGGAAGTACAACAAATAAGAAATCCTGCACCATCTCCTACCATGCTGGCACTATAAGAGATATTGATAGAGAATTCTAGCAAAGATTATTCAGACTGGTATACATAGAAGGTGAAGCAGTATTGCTGTTCAAAAGGCTTGATTTGGTTGCACTGACAGTGTTTATTCTCTGGATCAACAACAATCCTGTTTGGAACCACATTCCAAGAAAAGCAGTGTTTGTTTCTTATCACTTGTGGAGGTGATTCAGCTCTCTCTCTCTCTCTCTCTCTCTCTCTGTGTGTGTGTGTGTGTTTGACAGCTGTTCCCTCATTATGCCTCAAAGAGCTTTGCCTTTTCTTCGTTATAGCAGAATCCAGAAATCTGAAGCAAGTGGACACTATTTAATTTCACCAAGGTCAACCAACTGGAAAAGCCAATGTAAAATACCAAGTACGTATACTGAATTTGAAGCACCAATGTACTTACTAAAGGCTCTTCCCAATTTTTACTTCTTCCATTTCTTTTGCTACATAATTTGCAGAAATTAATGATTTAAACATTCTCTTCCTGTGTTTATATTGTTCTACATTTAGGAAACTAGCAAATGTATTCAGTTACCTAGGTCTGGGAAACAAAAGAACAGCTTGAGCATCCACCTTGGAGAATAATTTATTGATAAAAAGCATTCATAAAAGGGTTGTGGGTTGCTACGTGAAACTATACAACACTGCATGACAAGGTATTGACTTGTTTAGCTGAAATGGGCCTGTCAAGTTCAAGCCACGTGATGAGGGTTAGCTCCAGAGCAGTGCTTCAAAGGGGAAAAGAGCTTGAAATGTCTTAAGTATCAAAATGATTTTCAAAACATACCTAAGGCTGCAATCCTTAGGGGGTGCGAAACATTTTCTGGTTTCCCCCACTGAACAGAGAGTGGGACTTACTTTTTCAATAGACATGAACAGCACTGCATTATTAGGTTTCCATTGTTAAATAAGGATTTTTAATAGAATCCTTAGAATACACAACAATGTTGCACGTTATTGTTGAATTAGATGCCTGAAGCAAGAGCAGCTGGGCAGGCTAGGATCCGCCCATATTTTAATGAGAATGATGTCATAAGTGACCACTTCCAAGAACTCTAAATTTTTACAGCTATGCCACAAGCATGCATTTACTCAGTTACCAAAGTTCCCTGTTTTTACAAGTATAAACTGGGTGTTTGCATTTCATTTCTGCAAAAAAAATCCCTCAGGCTCATTCTAATTGTAAAACATTTAAACCAATATCTTCTGAATTGTTCAAATAGTATATGATGAAACTGGATCTTCCTTCAATTCATGCTTTACTCACTGATCAGTATGCAGCATGGTTCTAAAGGGTATGCTTGACATAAGGGTCATGAACCAGTCTTCTACTCTCCTATCTTAAGATAGGCACAGCAAATATTTAGAACTCTCAGTAACATGGAGTTTTGCAGAGTATTTCAACAGTATAGATGCTGTAATTGACACTGGATATTATGCAGTGGATTTTGAAGGAAATTCAAGAAAATATTTCTGAATATAGCCTGGTATTCAGGCAAAGTCTTTAAAAAGTCGCTCTTTATAAACATTGGTCCAAGTCTTCCCAGGAAAACAGAGGAGAGAAAAAATTGCAATATTCTCTGCATATCTGTATCGTCCCACTCTTTAGGCTGCAATCCTGTATGCACTTACCTAAGAGTAAGTCTCATCAAATACAGTAAATTAATTCCAACCCAACATGCATACAAAAGAACTTAGGGTAGCAAAAGCAGAACTTGCTCAAACTCTATGTGGGTATCTTACACCATACTATTTAATGTGGTACCGTCCAGCTGCCATAGACTACAACTCCCATCTTCCATAACCTTTGACCATGCAGGGTGGGGCTGATGGGAGCTAAGAGTTCAACAACATCTGGAGGGCACCATGTTGACTACCAAAGACTTCTGTTTTACACTATTAGCGATGGTTCCACAGAAGATAGCCAGAAGAATCAAGGGAAAGCTGCATAGCTTAGTATGAAAAGTAATACAACCAAGACTTCTGCTGTTGGGAAAGCTTCTGCATGGGACTTTGAGCAGATGCTACCATTTGTAAGCAATAACATTGGGCTCAGTGGACCAACGACTCAATCAGTGTGGCAAAAAGGCCAGCTGATATCTCTGTATACCAGGGACTCTGACCCAGACAGCATTAGCCACATTCATGTCCCAATGAAATCAACAGGGTGAAAGTTTGTTGAGACTAACTTGCCCAATTGTTGTTTTTAGTTAAACACAATTTTCTCAGGATCTGGCTCAGTGAGTAAGATGGGCAAAGTAACAGAAGGCCCAAATTATGCAATGCTGTCACACAAAAACAAATGCTGTCCTGAACAAATTGTGGTTTCATTTTATAGGGAACAGACAGACTAGATATAAAATGTAGTAACATAAACAGATATACTTACCCAGAAGTGTGCGTGGCAGTTAACCATCATGGTCCTTTCAATAAGCTCATCGGGACATTCCAGGAGATGGTGTCCAGAAACCACACCAGCATTATTAACCAGGACTGAGACTTCACCAACTTCCTTGCGAACTCTCTCGGCAGTTGTGTATACGTTCTCTCTTTTGCTCACGTCACAAGTATATGTGTGGACTTGCAAGTTGTAGTGAGGTACCACTTCTTCACCATGCCCAGCTACTTACAGGAAGCCAGACAAGCAAGGGGGGGGGAGAGAAAAGAAAGAAAGAAAGAAAACTATTGTCAGGTACCATGCAATGCTTAAATATCAGAAAATAAGTGGACAGCTTGATCCACAAACCACTTCAGATGGAGTATTTAAATTTCAGGGTATGGGAACATGCAGCTTGAATGTTGTATTTACTTAGAAAGAAGTCTTACTGAGTTCAGTACATTTAGGGCTTATTCTCAAATATGAACAAGACTGCAAACTTTCATTTTTGTTAGGTTTTTTTTAACCCAACTATTTAATAGGTTTGTACAAATGGTGCACATGAGCTAAATTAAGCATGTTGATGATGGTGAAACAAACTGGTGAAGCCATTTGTGACACTACAATTCTAAACAGTATACTCAAAAGCCAGTTCCACTGAGTTCAATGGGACTAACTCCCAGGTCACAGAGTCTAGGTGTAAAGTCAAACCATTGGAGAGTTGCAGCACAAATGTCAGACCATTGCTTTCCATGTGTATCACACTGCATCTCATACAACCCACAACCTGGATTTCTGTGCAATAGGCAGCAAAGAGTATTCCCATTTCACCACCCACAAGATTTACTGTTTTGAGTTGGTTTACTGTCCCAAATACGCCCAGACCTCCTTTGCTATCTCCACTTGGTGCTCTCCATTTAATGGCCATATTAAATTCCATTGGAATAAATTGTTTCCTTTTCTTCTGTTCCAGGAATAGGCAACAGTTGGGTAGTGCATAGCAATTCAGTGTTAGAACATATGTTTTGCATGCAGAAAGTCCCAGCTTCAATCTCTGGCATCTCCAAGTAGGATTGGGAATGCCCCCCATCTGAAACCCTGGAGTCTCACTTTCAGGTAGTATAGACAAAACTGAGCTAGATGGACAAAAGGCAGCTTCCAATATTATTAGTAAACATTTGGTTAATCCTCCCCTCTTCCGATTCTTGGTTGTGCATTTCAGATGGGGTGGCCAGACCTTTACACAGTTTTCCGAAAATGGTCAACGAAGGCTCATTTGCTTTTATTCCTATTTTAACACCTGCACATTCAATTTAAAATTTGCAAACCGCTGCAGCCCAGCATACCAAAGCAAGAAAAGTTCCTCAATTTCAGCCTTGCCTAGAATTTCTGGAATCCGAGATAACTGTTGTGCAGTATTTGGAGTACTTAATGAAATGGACCAACATGATTCAGTTAAGTCCCATTAATTTCAGTGGAGAAGTTAATTGAATACCAGTCATTGCCTTTAGTGTGCCAATCTCTGCCTCTGTAAAAAAAATAAATCACTGCATCCCCCCCCCAAAAAAAAACTTCTTGGGTGGCAAGAATGGAGAATATTCCCCTAAGACCAAGTCGTTAAAAAACCCCACCCAACACTTTTTCACACAATAGGAGGACTTACGAATGTTTGCAACTCAGCCACCCTTGATGAAGAGGCAGGTAAAGTCACTCTGGAGAACACTACAAGCTGTACAAGCCGTTGTCTCTTTCTCTTCCCGCCCAACCATGTACAGATCCGTGTGCCAGAAAAGCATCCTATCAAAGAACTCCACAATCTGCCTTATTGCCCCTCTTTCTGTTAAAGAGAAGACATCCCTTGCCCCCTGAAGACAGAATGATCCTGAAAGTTAATCTAGAACTTTGTCCAGGTATCGGCAGGAGGTCTCTGCACAAGAGCAACGATCCAGGAGGTAACAGTTTCAGCTACAGTACTGTACTACTATTGCCGCTGCTTTTGAAATGTTTTCCCTTTCCTATACCCTCTTCTCTCCAAATCTTGCACTTTATTTTAAAGCACCCAAGGCTGCAATCCTGCACGCTTACTTGGGACTAAGCCTCACTGAACTTAATGGGGCTTACTCCCGAGTAGACCACGTGCAGGAGCGCGCTGTTTTTTAAGTATCGATAGGAAAAAAACTCTTGCTTTTCTTTCCTAGAAGGAAGTGGCGCTTGCTTCTCTTGTTTGCCTTTTAAGAACCCGGGGCTTCCCAAGCTCATCCCCGTCCCCACCTCAGCGACCTTCTCCCGCCGGTCGGTTACCTTTCTGAGCAGCGACCACGGCTTCCTCGGCGATCTCCCGGTAGATGTGCCGCACCATGCCCGCCGTCTCCTCGTTGCTCTGCGTGTTGATGTCCCAGAGCACCAAGCGCGCCCGGCGGCGGGCAAACTCCAGAGCGAAGAGGCGGCCCAGCCCACTGCCAGCGCCGGTGATGAGGCACACCTGCCCCGCCACGCTCTTCTCCTTGGGGCGCATGAGCCACTTGGCGGCGGCCACCACGAACGCCCAGAGGACCTTGAAGGTAACCACGAAGAACTCCAGGATGATGTTCATGGTGGCGGCTCCCTTGGAGGGGGGTCGGGGAGCCGGGAGGAGCAGCGAGAGGAGGAGAAGCGGGCGACTGAGCAGCAGCAGCAGCAGCTCGCGGCGCCCTAAAAAGGCTACTTGGGAGTCCCCCCGCGCGGAGAAGCTTCCCAGCCCGGCCCCGCCTCCTCGTCGCCCACTTTGCATTCCTAGGCCTTCCCCCGTCTATTCCCGTCACGTTTCCGCCCAGCAGCGCCGCCCTCCTTTATTAACCAGAGAGCCCAGTCCGGCCACGACGGCGCAGTCAAGCGCGGCGGCGCCGGCGGCGGCAGCGCGCACTGTTCCCCGCGCTGCTAGGCCCACCCAGCCTGTGCGATCTGCGCCTCTGCTGCCTCTTTTCTGTTTTCTTAAACAATCATGTTCCTGAGTGCCACGACCTCCAGGAAGCACAGGCTGCCGAGAGTCGCGCTCATGTGCACACTTTTTTTAATATATAAAAAGGAGAGTCCCATTTAAAGCGATGGTACCGTAAACGTGGAAAAGGGGCGGGCTGAGTATGCAGGACAGAAGTGTTGGTACACTGCGAATTTTTTTCCCCTACTCAGAAGTAAGTCCCGTTGAGTTCTTTGGTGCTTTCTCCTAGGCAGACCACAGGGTCTTTAAGCTTTTGTCAGCTCACCTTCATGTGAGCGGCTTCGCCCACAGTCCGTTACCCTCGGAGACAGAGCTGCAACGCTAAACTGGGCAAGCCTAACTGAACCCGTTGATTTGAATGGACTTAGGCGCACCTAACAGCATAGGATGGGGCTGCAGTCCGACGCAGCACGCTGACTTGCGGCGTGACAGTAATCCTATGTGCTCTTACTCCCAAGGATCTGGGTAGAGGCCTAAGCGTTGGCAAACAGTGAGCTTCGTACAGGAAATTATATTTTCGTGCCACACTGGCCACTAAGGCTTAGCTATTCCTTGGGGAGAAGTTAATATAAATTGCCTACATTCACCATAATGCATAGCGGCAGGTCTAGACTTAGGGCACAGCTGGCAAAGACTACAGAACCCATGATGCACTGAAGCAATAATTTTTATTTTGGCCCGCCCCACTTGACAATGTATGCTGGGAGATGTAGTTTTAACTTGTCATCTATCAATTTTAAATTTGCTCCGAGTTTCATTGTGCTTACGCTGTAGTCCAACATACGTTTGCTCAGAAGTGTTCAATAGGGCTTTAGTCCCAGATAAGTGTATATAGGAGTGCCCATCTTAATTTACGTCCTGTACACCTTTCACGCAAGAAGCGATGTTAATCATTCATATCAGCGCTTAAAAACACCTATAATGTTCTACAATCGAAGACACATGATACAAACGGGAAAAATGATCGGGAAGGAGAAGGAAAGCAAACACTGGCGCAGGGGCTCCTTCATTGGCCAATGGATAGCACCAGATTGGTCTCCCATTGCCATGAGGTTCTTCCTGGGAGGCAGAGGGGCAGCCTCCCAGTGGACCTTGCTGCGTTGGTCCGGCAATCCAGAGCATACTTTCCTTGGGTTTTGCGGTCGCAGGGCAACCGGGAAAGTAAAGTGTTCTAATGTCAAGGCTGAAATTCTATGCACCTCACTGAACTCACTGGGAGTAACTACAGAATAACCATGTGCATAGCTGTGCAAAGTGTGCATGGCTACATGCCCTTTACATACTTCAAGAGAAATATATAAAACGTACTATTTTTAATCGCCCAGAATCTGAGAATTCAAGACTCCACTCCGTGTATGTCTACCAACAATATCGAAAAGCTGGTTTATAACACCAGACCTGAATATAACACACATCAAAATTCACTGCTTGGAAAAAGAGGTTGTTCTAATCACCAACTTTTATTTGGTGTCAAAACAAAAAAAATTCCTTCCAGTAGCACCTTAAAGACCAACTAAGTTAGTTCTTGGTATGAGCTTTCGTGTGCATGCACACTTCTTCAGATACACTGAAACAGAAGTTGCCAGATCCTTCTATATAGTGAGAATTTGGTGTGTGTGTCATGTCTTATTTTCTCATTCCCTCAAACACCTGGATATTCACCGCATCAAGGAGTTAATGACAGTTACGCATGTGCTACAGCTCCGGCTCTTACGTAGGCATTCTTTCTTTTTCGCCACAGGCATCGCTTGAGACACCTAAAGCTGGGGCTTTGCGCTTAATGGTCCCTTCCACTAGGCGGCGGAAAGAGTCTTCAAGTTCACCGCGCATGCGCTAGCTCTTTCTTTTCCGGCGGCGACCATGGCGGGCGAAGAGTGAGTAGCCTTTTCTTCCTCGGTACAATCCGTTGCCATCCGCGACATTAAGAAAGCGTTTCCTGGGTTTTGTTTTTCGGCCTTCGCCGCTGAGGGCTCCGTATTCTGAAGAGGCTTTTGCTGAGCCTTCTTAGCGAGTGTTTTCTCGGGAGACGGAGGGGTTCATTCAGAGGGATGCGGCTGGGAACTAGGAAGTGTCCCTCCCTGTTGCAGTGGGGCGCGTTGCGAGGGGTTCATTTCTGGGGAATGAGCGGAGCTGGAGACGAGTGGGAAGGCCGCGACTGCCGTTGGCAGCTTCCGGACTCACATGGCCGCCTCGCTTCATGGCGGCCGTGCTGGTCTGGTAGTTTGCGTGGCGCGGTTAGGCCTAGCTGTAGCCTTCCGGCACACGCGCCCAGCTCCGCTGGTTGAGGTAGGCCAGAAAATTCGGAAGCATTGGTTACTTGGGGATTTTTGAGCGCTTTTTCTTGCGTAAGGTAAAGGACCCCTGATGGTTAAGTCTAGTCGCAGACGACTCAGGGGTTGCGGCGCTCATCTCGCTTTACAGGCCGAGGGAGCCGGCGTTTGTCCGCATTTGTCTTGCATAGCCCCGGAAAAAAGGCTTTGACCCGCTGTTACGATCGTTAACCATACATACGATTGTTGTATTGGAAGGGTTCCCGAGGGTCATCTAGTCCAACCCCTGCAAGGCAGGAATCTTTCTGCCCAACATGGGGCTCGAACCCATGGCCCTGAGATTACACTGGAATTATTTTTATAGAAACTATTTTTCCAGGAGTGGGGTGCAAGTAGTTTTGCTTTTAAAATACCAGTATTATAATTTGGGATTTTAAGATAATTTATAAATCTCCCAAAAAAACACTCCATCTTTGCAGGCCACTGGTTTGTTAAACATGTTTATAACTACCAACAGTGGTAACAATGAGTTTCACATAGCTATATCTCAGGAAATCAAAACTGCTTGATATCTGGAAATTCAGGAAAGCAATAAACCTGTCTCTGGAGAGAAAAGTTTGAATAAAGTAATTTGGTTAATAATGCAGTGTTGTACAGCTGCAATAGTTTTCTACTAACAAGTCTTAAAAGATATTGTATGGCTATTAGGTTGTTTCTTTTTGTGTGCAGTATGCATGAGAAGAAACATACATATTAAGATGTATATGTCTTTTGCTTTCTAATGTAGAGCGAAGAAGAAGTTGCCTTCGGTTCCCGAGAGCCTTTTGAAGAAACGGAAGGCTTTTGCTGATATGAAGGCCAAACGTCTGAAAAAGCTGTTGGTCCAAAAGAAGGTGAATATAACAGTCTTGTCCATATGCATGTTACACAGAAATAAGCCCTATTGTGTTTAGTGGAGCATATTCCTAGTATATGCAGGATTACAGCTTTTATTAATGTAGCTTTTATTAATGGAGTTGTGCTAGATGCAATTTGATGGAAGTGGCTTGTTTTGCCTTGATACTGTAACAATGTTCCATGTGGTATGTTAAGAGGGGATACCATTAAGCTGCAAAATTGGATTTTTGTGTGTGACAACTTAGGTAGTTGGCCTGTTAACTTTTTGTGGCTCTATAAAATTAGTAGGCAGATTGATCTGCCTGCAAAAAGCTTGTAATATATGGATCAAAAATCTAGTTTTTTTAATACTCTCCACTGCTTAGTGTATATCTAGAAACAATATTGTCCTCATTCTGGCTTATGTCTTCTTTCCCATGAGCAGCTGTAGCTGGCACCAGAGCCACCTTTCCCATACATATTCAACATCTTTCAGATATATTAGTGAGATGGTTATCAGTGGCCTTTTTCATTATAGAGATTATAAAGCTCTTAACCAAATGCCCTTTATCCATTCTCTTCTTGCATCTCATTGAAGGGGTTCCTTGCCTTAACCACTCAGTTACAAAACTCACCTCCCCCAGCCTTGGCTCTACCAAGGCTGGGACCTTGCTCCCCCCTTCTTTAAAAAAGCAAGATAAGAAAAGCAAGTAAGCATTCATTCCAAGCAAGCACCATCAAAACTATGTATGTGCATGTGTGCACCCAGCATAGACTGATCACACACAAAAAAGAAGCTATTTGATAATTATAGTACTCCGCCCACCTTTGCGCTATTACAGGTTAATAAAGGTAAGAACCAGTGTGGAATTGTAGTTAGAGTGTCAGACTAGGACTTCAAAAGACTCAAGTTCAAATCCCTACTCGGTTATGAAGCTCACTGGGCCACTTACTTTCAGTGAGGTTACATCAGAGCTTTCCAAACTGTGTGTCGCGACACATTAGTGTGTCGATTGCAGTGTATAGGTTTGTTGCGCAAACGCGCTCAGCGCTGGAAAGGGGTTAGTTTAACCCATGGTTTGTTAGTAAAACTGAATTGCTGTGTCGTGAAATGATGCATGTCTAAAAAGTGTGTCACCTACATGAAAAGTTTGGAAAGCTCTGGGTTGCATGATGAGGGTATCTGATGCAGATAACTGCTGAAGCTAAGTGGGTCTGGAGCTGGTCAGTGCCTGGATAAGAGGCCACTTGGAAAAAACTTTAAACTCCATGATGGAAGAAAGCCATGATATAAAGGTACAGTCATACCTCAGGTTAAATATGCTTCAGGTTGAGCGATTTTGGGTTGCGTTCCGCTTCGACCCGGAAGTAATGGAATGTGTTACTTCCGGATTTCACCGCTTGTGCATGCGCAGACGGTCAAAATGACATCACGTGCATGCGCGGAAGCGACGAATTGCGACTCGTGCAGGCACGGGTTACATTCGCTTCAGGATGCGATTCCCCGTTCGTATCCAAAGGTACCACTGTACTAAATAAATGAGGGAGAATGATGTATCCAGGGGTCAGCACACCTTTTCAGCAGGGGGCTGGTCCACTATCCCTCAGACCTTGTGGGGGGCCAGACTATATTTTGGGGGGAAAACCCGAATTCCTATGCCCCACAAATAACCAAGAGATGCATTTTAAATAAAGGACACATTCTACTCCTGTAAAGACACACTGATTCCCGGACCTTCTGTGGGCCAGATTTAGAAGATGTTTGGGCTGGCCCCTGGGCCTTAATTTGCCTACCCATGATGTATGCTGTCCTGATCCTCTGAAGGAAGACAGAGACAAAGATGTAATAAATGTGCATATATTTACTTAGAAAATGTAATAATATTCTCTTCTGTTTTCAGTTGCGAATTGCTGAACGAAAATTAATCTATAAAAGGGCTGAGTTATACCACAAAGAGTACAGGCAGATGTACCGGCGCGAAATTCGCATGGCCCGCATGGCTCGCAAAGCTGGCAATTACTATGTACCTGCTGAACCAAAACTGGCATTTGTGATCAGGATCAGAGGGTAAGATGAACAAATGTGTTGTGCTATCACATAAATTAACAGCAGTTGGTCTCATGCCCACACTGTATATGTAAGGAACATGACTTCCCCCCAAAGAATCCTGGGGAACTGTAGTTTGTTAAGGGTGCTGGGGGTTGCAGCTGTTTGAGGGGCAATCCTTTCTATGACCTAAGCCTTTGCAGCAGCACTGTCCTTTATGAGACTAATTCAAAAATACCTTGTGTAGAAGCCTCTTTATTCAGGTTACCCTTAGATAAAAACCGTTCTAAAGCTGTGTGCCTAGAGAATTGACCAGCTGGTGGGAAGTTCCATGAAGTCCAGGTTTCAGAATAAATAAAATAAAAATATTTTAAATGTGTTTAGGGGAGGGGTGGTAGTAGTTTTGATTTTGTTCCAAATATTTATGCTTTTATCCTGTATTTTTATCTTGTGAACCACCCTGAAATCTTCAGATGAAGGGTGGTATATAAATTGAATGCATGAATGATTAAATATAAATAAATATAATTTTACTTAACATTCAAATTATACACGTTGGGCCTAATGCAGAGCAAGACTTTCAGCCTTATATCAGTGTTGAGGCCTAATTGATTTCAAAGTGAAAGAGCATAACTTTTTGCTTTGTATTTTTAAGTAATATCCCACAAGTTTTAGTATATTGAGGAAAGCTCCACTGAGCACGCTCGGACTTCATTTTGAGTTAAAAATGCATGAGTACTTTGTTCTGCTTATGGTCTAGGTGTAATTTAGTCTCTTAATTTATTTTGATTTCTCCCTGAAAGCCTTCTGACTGGCTAAGAATCAGTGATGGCTAATAAAATAACATAATAAAATAATTCATTAATAGCATCCAAAGTAGCATTTAAAATGGTATTTAGCATATTTAGATCCTGGTGCTCAAAAGCTGCCAGTGTTCTACCCCCTCAATACCTCGTTTGGGTTTAGTTTGCTACCAACAGTAGTAGCTTTCTGTGAAAATGAGCACAGCTGAGCCACAATGGCAGAGGAGTAGCGATAAAACAGATGGAAAAGTATGGAGAATAAACATGTCTTGACCTAAAAAATGAAGTGTAAGAAGAATAAACATGTCTTCGCCTGAAAAATGAAAGGTGGTACAGTTTGCTCCATGGAAATTCTGGGGTGGGTGGGGGGAGTCATTTGTATAGGTTGCTAACACAATGAAAGCCTCTTGCTTATCTTGGATTGCATAACTGTTGCCACTTTTTCTAAATGCTCCTTATTTTGAAGTGGGCAAGGACTGTGTTTTGGTAGGATTTTTTTTAATCCTTTAGTGGACTCTTTGTGTGGGGGGCAAAATTATCTTTAATGCTATCCATTAAAAATAAATGTCATTGGTATGTTAATTATAATGTAAGTTCAGCTATCTGGAGTGTTACATGTTTTACTAATATGATCAAAGCTTTCATTGGAAGTAGCTGGTAGTTGAATCTGTTTGGAGAACGTACTGAAAAGAAACATGTTTTACTACACTTTTAGAATTAATGGCGTTAGTCCCAAGGTTCGCAAAGTACTGCAGCTTCTTCGCCTGCGTCAAATTTTCAATGGCACATTTGTGAAACTCAACAAAGCATCCATTAACATGCTGAGGATTGTTGAACCTTACATTGCATGGGGGTAAGTTGAATCTTAAATTTAGTGGTATATATTGTTCCCTATATATGTTGCCTTCTGCTTGTCTGCGTTGGACGAAGTGGTCTCTACACCTCCTGCTCCAGAGCAGAAAGTTATGCTCTGCGCTGCAATCGCAGACTGAACATTGCCTCATACATATTTAGAAGGTTGAAGCATAATGAGGTTGGCAGCATTTTAAAAAATACACTGATCCATAGTGTAGCCCATGTATGACCAGCTAATGTCCCACAAGAGATATTTCTTTGCAGTTTCACTTGTGTGGAATGATGCAACAAGTTTTCATGTGCGTTTAATGTTACTATTTTGTATACCGTACAGAATGTGTAACAGAAATAAATGTACAGTAGACCCTTGGGTTACAATACTCTTGAGTAATGTAAACTTTGGCTTGTGAAAGCGGCAAACCTGGAAGTATTTTTCTGGGTTTCACCGCATGCGCAGAAGCACTCTGTCACTCCATGCGTAGAAGTGGTGTCTCAATACAGATTTTTCTGGGTGTGCACGGCCCCCAGAACAAATGAAGTTCGTATCCAGAGGGTCCACTGTACCTTCATCTGTTTACCAAAGTTCTCTTTCATGCCTCTTTTCCCTCTTGTCACTTTTAACTACTTTGTAATGTCTGGAATTGCAAAGTTTACTGCCAGTAATCCTGTGAAAGGATTTTTGTTTGAGGAACTACCTTGGTTATCTTCTCCAAGTTGATTACTTCATACCAAGTCTGCTTCCATAATAACTTCATCTTTGTAATACATAAGGGGCTAGATAGTTTTAGCTCTGGACTAATGTTTGGAGAAGTACAGTAATTCATGATAATACAGGTGTTGGCTCTCTCTGGCCTATGTTATCCAAAGGGCTATGGACTAGAGTATAGGTAGGTAAATGATACTTTTTCTTGCTGATGAAAACTTCCAGTGTGGCATTTCTATATCGGAAACCACATTCTAGTTCCTGCTGAACAACAAAATTCAGTATGATTGTACAATTAAAAGTATCACTCCTATCTGAGAAAGTGTTGTATTAAAATAGTGAATAATTCCTATGGTCCTGGAAGTGGTAATAGTTCCCAGCAACTAATTCTGGGCCAAAAGATTTGCCTCCAGGATACCTGTAGTAGCTCTCCTCCCATATAAGCCTGTCTTTTTAAGATTCACATAGGCTCTTCACTGCATTCTAATGGTAGTAGAAGCATAGTTGGTTGGGACATCTATCCCTTCTGTCGAGAATGCAGAAATACCTGCCTCAATAAGTTTGCCCCCTCCCAAAAAAACCACCTACCTTATGTCATTTATTGAAAACATTTTTGATCTGGCAAGCTTTTGGCCTGCTGGGTTAAGTTATCTTAATGTGGTTATAGTAGACTTGTGTTGGATGCTTTTTCTCTACTTCATGCTTGTATTTTACTGACCTAAGTTTGTGTCAGAACTTAAATGTATGCTTTCCAATTATGAAGGGACGCAGGTGGTGCTGTGGGTTAAACCACAGAGCCTAGGGCTTGCTGATCAGAAGGTAGGCGGTTCAAATCCCCGTGATGGGGTGAGCTCCTGTTGTTCAGTCCCAGCTCCTGCCCACCTAGCAGTTCGAAAGTACGTCAAAGTGCAAGTAGATAAAAAGGTACCGCTCCGGCAGGAAGATAAACTGCGTTTCTGTGTGCTCCTCTGGTTTCAACAGAAACGACTTAGTCATGTTGGCCACATGACCCGGAAGCTGTACGCCAGCTCCCTTGGCCAATAAAGCGAGATGAGCGCTACAACCCCAGAGTCGTCCGCGACTGGACCTAACGGTCAGGGGTCTCTTTACCTTTACCTTCCAATTATGAGTCTAACTTTTGTACATTGTCCTTTGTATTGTGATTGCAATAGAAGAGGAGGGTAGAAAATTAGTTAATAAACAAATACATAATATAAGCCATTATTTCTCCCCTGGCATCTCTCTGTCATAAATATGTTCTAAGCAGATTTCCTTCCTGCTTAGGCTAAAAATGATTCCCCCCCCCAACACCCTCCTTTCTGCCTTGTCCAATGCAATCTTCCACTGTGTGCCAGAAGTTGTTCAATGCTAATTTTCATTCCTTGTGAGAGAGCTGTTTTGTTCCCAGCATTCAAACCCAAAAGCTTATGTCTGGATACAGCTACTTAATTTTAGAAATTAGTTGGCTGTGGTAAATACAGATGTGTACTGAATGGACAAACAGCAAGGTATTGAGGACACAATATTGCCAGTGAACTCATGCATTCGGTATACACATTTTTATATTTTTAACTTAGAAATTCAAGCAGCTGATTTTCATTATGTTACTAAGTTAGCAGTGCTGTTGTCATGTCTTATCTTTTGTTCCAGTTACCCCAACTTGAAATCTGTGCATGAGTTGATCTACAAGCGTGGTTTTGGGAAGATCAACAAGCAGCGCATTGCTTTGACAGATAACTCTCTCATCAAACGATGCCTGGGTAAGTAAACTTATGGCAACTTGTACTGGATTATTTTAGTGTATCGCTACATCTGCAAGCTTATTGCATTCTTGTATCGTCTGAGACAATTATTCTTTGCAATCCTGCTGGCCAACTTGAGCATAACATTTTGCATTTACATAGAAAGTATTTCACTGATGTTCTCTAACTTTTCTCTAACGGTGTGCCAGTATTATGCCATTTTTGCAAGATGGAGTAATGAGGCAGTGGCTTGCTGAAGGCTGTCAATTTGTGAGCTGAGATTTGAACCTAACACATTCTGGTTTTCATGTCTAGCCACATTACACTATACCAGCTCTTGCCTAATAAGATTGTGGTTTAACGTTAGAAGTCAATAGAAAAAAGTAACTTCAGTTTAACTTAATGTCAAACAAATACAAGTAGAGTCTTCAGAGTGCCACTATCAAGTTATACTATTTGAGGGATGGACATTCTGGCTTTACAGTAGTGACAAAATGTGCCCATTTTGTTGGACGTGCAGTGTATAGTGCTATACATTTCCCATGTCCCAGTTTCTTTTTGGTTGCGATGCTCTCATTTGGGTGACTTGGCAAATTGCATTCTCTCAGCTACCCGCAGGGTGATTGCAACAATCAATGAATGGGAAGGCACTTTGTACTCTGAACCTTTTCTAACTCTACTTTTAGAAAAACACGGCATCATTTGCATGGAGGATCTGATCCATGAAATCTATACTGTTGGCAAAAACTTCAAAGCAGCAAACAACTTTCTCTGGCCATTCAAGCTGTCTTCTCCACGGGGTGGAATGAAGAAGAAAACTATTCACTTTGTAGAAGGTGGTGATGCAGGAAACAGGGAAGACCAGATTAACCGGCTCATAAGGAGGATGAATTAATGGTATGCTGGGCTGGAGAACACTAAAATACAAACTTGTAGCAAGGGTTTCCTTCACACATCTTTTGTACACAAGGGATATAGGCTTCTGGTTGTAGAATATTTTCTTCATGTGGAATCAGGGAGTCTTGGGAATTCATTGACAAAGTTAAGCAGATCTTGTCATGGTCAGTTCCCAGATGGGAAACTGAGCATCACATGTTAATTGTATTGCTTCCTAAAGGAGCTCCTTATACTTTTACGGATTAGAGGTGGTGAATCCACAGTCTTAGCTTGCAAAGGCACTTCTCTTTCAGCCACAATACCAAAGCTATGACATCTTAAGGTTCCTTCCTGTTTGTGCACACTAAGACTTTCTAGGGATGACACCCTGCCAGAGGCAGAAGAAGTGCCTTTGTAAATCAAGTAAGAGGGCTTTCCTTGCCCTTCTGCTAGCTAGGAAATGCAATGGCATCTCAGCCCAACATTGCAAAGATCAGCAGAAGATGGGGGAGGAACTTGTGTATGTCTTTCTGTGTGCATGTGAGTATACTGTGACCATGCCTCCCACAGGATGGGAAGTAGTATATTGCGATACAAATATGGCAAAATTCTACAACAAACTATTTAGACCAAACTGCCCCAATGTGCAGGATTAAAAATGTCAGATATTCTAGAAAATCAAGTTAAAGTTCTTTAGGTGTGGGGTTTGTAGGGGGAATTGTTAGCAAATGTGGGTGTGGATGGCAGTTTGTCTAGCTGTTTGTTGAATTGCAGTTTTGTTACTTCCCTTTGTATTCAGAACTCATATTGTCATGTTAAGCCATAAGCTGCTTATTCAGAGAACAAATTATGCCCCCATTGCTCTATTTGTGCTATTTTAAATCATTTGGGTGGTTGGTTAAGATGGACTTTAGACTGCACTTTAGGTTATGCACTGTTTGTGTGTTTTAGAGTAATAATTAATTACTGTAGTATACCAAGTTGGGTATATAGGAAATTATGGGAAGCACATCTTTTACTATTTTTTAGTCACCACAGGCAGCCAGATAAGTGGCTTTTTGGTTGAAAGTGATTTTTGTGTGCACATAAAGGCAAGTAAAACACTGAAATGTGTGCTGTCAGCCCAACTTGAAATTCTCTGAAAAATATTCACCAATTGAAATGTTTCTAATCTGAGTTTGTCTTCTCTTCTAGGGGCCTAGCAGATGACATCTCTATGCATTGTTAATAAAAAAAATCTTCTGTGAAATTGTGCTGTTCTTCCTTGCTCTGAAATTGACTGGCAGTCAGAGTACTTCTGCAACCCTTTTAATTTTAGGTAGCTACAAACAGTAAGTTATGAATGTTATTGAGAAATCTAAGCTATGGTTAACCTACACAAAGATCCTGTTAGCTGAAGGTCTGTCTGACAACAAGGTGTTAAATGACCTTGCCAGTCAGAAGAGTAGGCAGATGCTTGGTTCAGAAAAGGAGCTATGATGATCACCCTTGTCCTCTTCAGATAGAACATGAAATGGGCCCAGGGAAAGAGAAGTGCTGGTGGAAATCCACACAGCAGCTTGTGGTGTCAGCACCTGCTGTTATAAAAATTGTTTAGAAAGCTGATGCGAATTTTAATCTGCTTTTAGTCAGTTATTTTAACATTTCAAATTACTGCTAATTCATTTTACTGATAAATTTATTGTTTTTGTAAACTGCTTTGGGGTTTTGATTTTTTTTAAAGAAACCTGTAAAGCAGTATATAAATTTGAGGAAATAAATCACAGCCTATCCTGGGGATAGCAAAGGGCTAAGAAGTTAAGCAACCCCAAACCCAGTAATGTGTTAACAGCAGGCAGGCTAACAGGATAAGTCAGACAGCATTTTCTTTCAATAACAAAAGGACTCTTGCTTCGTTGGAGGTTTTTAGACAGAGGTTGGGTGTTTGTCATTGACATAAGCTTTAGCTGAGATTCCTGCATTAGAGGGGATTGGACAAGATGATCCTCAGGGTTCCCTTACAACTCTGACTTTTCTATCACTATTCCGGGGAAGGGGTGGCTGACCTGCTACTGCATCTACAGCATTAGATGCAGTTCAAAAACTTTACAATGGCAATATAACTACAAACATAAAAAAGCTTTATTAATCACATATTTCCCCTTTTCCCTTAATTGTGAGGTTTGCTGATCAACATAGTATTTGTGAAAGAATTAGATAGACGTGAACAAGAAACTTTACATGATTTCAAAGGAGCCTGTTCCTTTCCTGGTACGTTGTTTACATCATCTGTCTCTTGGCCTTCCTGAGTCTTCTTGTTCTCTCTTGATGTATGGTTTCACATTCCAATGCAGCCAGTTGAGAAAGCCGCTGGAGGAACTGAGGAGGAGCTCCAGTGACAGGGTCTGTGAAATGGTAACCTAGAAGAAAAAACGAAACTCCCCTTGATTAGTAGTGTGTACAAAGTATAATGTGCCCCTCTCATGGAAGTACTTAAAACAGAATTATACAATATACATCAAAAACCAGTGAAAGGGAATAAAATCACCCTATTCCTTAAAATAGAAACAAGTTGTAATGGTTATCTGAAAAGGTAGTAAAAAGGGGTACATAGTGTTCATAAACCTGGCCCATTATGCATTAGTCTGACCATGCTTTTTAGAGAGGCCTATGATTTTATATAATTCATAAAAAAATCAATTTGAAGTACAGATACCTAGGATTTAACAAAAACTAAACATTCCCATTTCTCTTGCTATATTAGCATTTTATGTTATCCATTTAGTTTATTATTTTCCTAAGCAATCTTTTGAGCAAGGTATGCATTAAAGTAGAAAAATTACATTTGTGACCATAAAAATGCAATATGACCCAATGTATTTTCATTCCAAAACTCTAGAATAACTAGTAGCTTGTATCAGTAATTGCCTTTTGTTAATTAGCTGAATTAAGCCTTTGAAACATTTTACAAATACAACTAGAAATGCTGTCCCTTAGGTACATACGAAAACAAAGCCTTCAATAAACATGTTTATAACAGCAACAATATTCAAAATGCAAGAAAGTTCACATAGTAAAGCAGTGAGAAAATGAGTTTGCCTAGGAAATGCATCTTGGTGAAGACAGATGGTAGGAAATTAAATATATTAAGTACTTACCAGGCTTGAATTTGGATCCTTCTGGAAATGAAATTAGGCTGGAACACCGATTATACTTCTTCAACCTACAAACATTTGCACAAGAACATACTATTAATAGAATGTTATATTTATGGACTATGGCAATCAAGGTGACTTGCAGTGGTGTAATTTCCCAGCGGTGTGCTGAGATTAAAAAACATGCTGATCAATGCCATATAAGTATTCCTACATCAAAATGTATTTCTTTAGGAATCTCCATCCAGATTCCTAGTAGTACTCAACAAGTATCAGAACCTTTGTACTGAAAGGACTAATATGCATGGGGATTTAGGTAAATATTAACAGGGCAGACCTATAAATGAATACTAAAAAATAGGGTTCATAGAGTTGAATTGAGCGGCTATAGGACAGCAAGCATTGCTGGGAAATAAATTTGCATAGGAACTGCTTCTGAATCGTAGTTACAATAGTCATAACATTTTCCTCCAGCAGAGAAAAGTATTGACTCAGTAACTCTTTCCACCAGCTCAAGTAGGCCAATACTGCACCTTTACACAAGCCTTTACTACATGGGAGAGCTCTCCTTCCCCATTGTGGTTCTGCCTAGCTTCAGGAAGCGAGATGACACCAGCTCTGCTGATTCTAAATCTCTGCTTTTTTTTTAACCTTCCCCTGCCCCTTTGTGGGTGTACAGTGGTACCTCGGTTTAAGTACTTAATTTGTTCCGGAGGTCCGTTCTTAACATGAAACTGTTCTTAACCTGAAGCACCACTTTAGCTAATGGGGCCTTCTGCTGTCACGCCGCTGGAGCACGATTTCTGTTCTCCTCCTGAAGCAAAATTCTTAACCCGAGGTACTATTTCTGGGTTAGCGGAGTCTGTAACCTGAAGCGTATGTAACCCGAGGTACCACTGTACATATGAGCCTTTGGCAAGGGGGTGATGTTTCCCAGCATCACAACAAAAGATAACCCCATGGCTGAGTCCAGAGACTATCAAGGGGATGGGCCAGGCTAAAATGTGGAAGCTGCTTAACTATCCGGTGCCCAGTTCAATCCCACCCACAATATAGCAACAGTCTGGAACTGCCCCAGGTCTAAGTGAGTTTTGATCCTTGCCTCTCCACTTCCTGTGTCCCCCAGTAAGGTCCCAAGACATGGTGAAGGGCACATCCTGCAGTGACCTTGCTGAAGGCAAGCAGGTGGACTAGTCTGCCAAACACACCATTTCGGGACAGTTAAAGGTGGTTAAAATAAATATTCCCTTTATTTTCATGAATTTGATCAAGTCATGTTTCCCTCTCGCTATTATGTTGTTTCAGGAATAAACATTTAGAAAACAGTCTGGTGAAGAGACAGAATTAAATATATAAATTAAAGTAACTCCCAACATCGTTTTTCATGAAAGACCTGGTCCACTCATACTGCCTTACCTTACAGCACCTAATTCTCCAGCTCCACCATGCATACCGGATGTCTTCAGAGGGCCTGGTTTCCAAGTAAACGACCCTCTTTTATAAGCATCCCCCATGGCTGTATCTCCCCTGCAGGAGAAGAAAAAAAAGCAGTATCTCAGACAGCAATAGGTTTTACAGTAAAACCATCCTGGCATCACTTATTTTTCACATAGTGCTGTGAGGGTGGTTTTTATGGCCCAAGGTTCACAAAGAGCATATCACCAGCACACCACGTTCTTTACCAGTGTCAAGTCATTTTAAGGCACAATCTTAAAGACATGGGAAAGGAAATCAAAAGTGGCAATTTCACCCAGTGCCCTGCTGGGCTGTCACTGGCAGGGAGAAAGTAAGGATGAAGCAGCACTCCTCCACCCTTTACAGGTTTGCTGCCATAGTTTTCTCCTTAGTGTAGGGTCCATGTTGCAGGTCTGGGTATGTCTCCTTCACTGCATCTACTTTTAATAATACTCCTTTTGAGGCCTACCACTAGAGCTCTGACATCAGTAGTGTCTGCTGCAGTGGGGAGTGGGCAGCAGATCCGCCTCTCGGAGGCCTTGCCTCTCTTTTGACACTAGGGGAAGGAGCTCTGAGGCTGACTAAAGCCCAGTCGGACATGCCAACATTCACCCTTCAGGAACATAATTCTGAATCCAAACTATAAAGAGTAAAATTAACTTGCCTGCTTTTGTAGCAGCTTTCAATAAAGTATTGTGATGAAGTACGCGGAAGCACAAAAGGTGGCAAACCGGGGTCATCATTACTGTAACAGCTAAAATCAAAAGAAGAAGGTATCTAACTATATAATATTAAATGGTTAGACGTTGTGTTCTAATTTTTTAACATATTTTATCCCAAATAAATGGGATTGGTCAACAGATACAGGGATATACATAATTGGGTAGGAAAAAACAAGGCTCTTTGTCATATATTTCTCTCTGACCTCTAACTCATAACACTATGTTGACTAGTCTGTGAAACCTTATGCCATTCATATATTGATTTAAAGTGCCTTGTGGCCCTGTAGTTTTTGCTACAACAGACTAACTTGTCTGCACATCTGGGAATTGCCTTAAACGATCCTGCTCCAACCCCAGCCACAAGCTCTGAGAAAAACATGAACAGTACATTCATCCACTCCCGTTTCTACCAAAAATTGTTTTTTAATGATACATGTATAGCTGAGTGGTAAGACACATACTTATAGAACTTCCGGGGCCAAATTAAACGTGTGTTTATAAATACATGCTTATTGTTTGGCTTACTACTACTGGCTCTGGGGCAATTTACACTAAAAGAAACATGTAGAGAAGAGCAAAAACCTATCCTCTATTCACTTTAGGAAACTTGTAGTTACTGTCATTTCTCCAGTTCATTCAATTGTAGAGTTAGTGAGAAGCCTCTCAGTTACATACATTAAACAATGAAACATTGTAAACTACCATTAACGAAGTTGAGACTTTATGTGTGGGAAGTAAACACTACCCTGTACAAACATAAGCTTTGTCTAAAAAACAAAACAAAACCATAAAGCAGTAAGCCTATGGCACAGAGGAGTACTTGATCACTTAAAAATACTGAGGTTTTTGCTGTTTCCCACTGGCCATATTCAGACATCACCCTATACCACAGTTTAGTGTGGTCAGAACAAACTGGTCTCCTCTTCCAAACAGCTATGAGGTAGAATGTGGAACATTTCATTTCCATTTTTGCTTACCTACAGCTTGTTTCCTTGTTGCAACTGACAAAACCTAGCTTGTTTGAAACAAGCCAATGTGAAACTAATAAGCTTGAGGCAAGATTGTGACTGAATGGCAAGTGATTCCCTTTGCTCTAAACAAAAAACAAAGCCAGTCTGGGTATGAAGTACCCAATAATAATCTTCCCCCTTTCCTCTGAACAGGTGATCACTGATGATCACAAGCAACAGCTTTAACCATCTGACTGGCTATATGCCTACTTGCCAATGTCTGAATTGGGGCTCATACAACATTTGGAAGTAATAGAATTTCCACTATATCATGACGATTTATACAAGTCACTATATCATGACCTGTTCATATTTTAGAAGTGTAGATCTTCAATCCATTTGACTTTAAATGCAGAAATGGAGCTAAAATTCCATCTTCTATTGCTATTTTTAAAATAAATTTGTACATGAAATTTTATGAGATGTGCTTATTAGAAATTCCTCAGCTTGAAGTCTGCCTCTGAATTATACCTGTGCAGTGCACTTTGAATATGTGAAACATCTATACATACACTTCATACAATAATAGAGTTTCTAATGGTATACCTGTCTGGAAATAAATGAGCAGCACCTTGTGTCTTCTGTGCAACGGGAGAGGGGTTTGGTATTGCCTGAGCAAGACTTGGCATTGCAGCATTTTCATCAGAGTCTCTCAAGCCATATGCAGATGTATATTCTGCTTAAGAGAAATAATTCAAAGCAGCATACATGGAACATCAGGCCAAAACTAGCTAGAGCTACAGTCTTACACTTGCTTAGAAGTTTGCTCCACTGAGGTCAATGGGAGACTTCTGAAGAGACATGTCTGGGCACAGGAAACTGGTCTGGTCCTTGTGAGGTTACCAAGTCAGAAGGAGCAGTTCCCTTATAGTGAGCTTATGTTCTTAGCCACCTATAGAGTCAGGAATCGTCAAGAGCGGAAATGCCTTCTTCTAAATATACTGTGTGTGCACACACTTACCGTATTTTTCGCTCTATAACACGCACCAGACCATAACACGCACGTAGTTTTTAGAGGAGGAAAACAAGAAAAAAATATTCTAAACAAAACAGTGGATGTATGATTTTTGTGGTTCATGCTGTGGCCACAGACATGTGATCTGACGGTGAGTTTGGGGTAGCCCAATGCAAAAATCCTGAGGATCCATGTGGATCCATGCTAAAGTCGCCCTAAAGTCGCAGGGGCGCTGGGGGAGTGAACAGGAAGCAGGAGGAGGAGAACAATCCCTCTCACACACAGACACACACACACACACAGAGTATCAATCCTAAAGTCGCAGGAGAGGCAGGGGCGCTGGGAGTGGGAAGCAAGAGAAGGAGAACGATCCCCCCCCCTCTCTCTCTCACACACACACAGTATCAATCCTAAAGTCGCAGGAGAGCGCAGGGGCGCTGGGAGAGTGAAGGGGAAGCAAGAGGAGAACGATGCCTCACACACACACACACACACACACACAGACACACACACACACAGAGTATCAATCCTAAAGTCGCAGGAGAGCGCAGGGGCGCTGGGGGAGTGAACAGGAAGCAGGAGGAGGAGAACAATCCCTCTCACACACAGACACACACACACACACACACAGAGTATCAATCCTAAAGTCGCAGGAGAGGCAGGGGCGCTGGGAGTGGGAAGCAAGAGAAGGAGAACGATCCCCCCCCTCTCTCTCTCACACACACAGTATCAATCCTAACGTCGCAGGAGAGCGCAGGGGCGCTGGGAGAGTGAAGGGGAAGCAAGAGGAGAACGATGCCTCACACACACACACACACACACACACAGACACACACACACACACACACACACACACACACACACACACAGAGTATCAATCCTAAAGTCGCAGGAGAGCGCAGGGGCGCTGGGAGTGGGAAGCAAGAGAAGGAGAACGATCCCCCCCCCTCTCTCTCTCTCACACACACACAGTATCAATCCTAAAGTCGCAGGAGAGCGCAGGGGTGCTGGGAGAGTGAAGGGGAAGCAAGAGGAGAACGATGCCTCACACACAGACACACACACACACACACACACACACAGAGTATCAATCCTAAAGTCGCAGGAGAGCGCAGGGGCGCTGGGAGTGGGAAGCAAGAGAAGGAGAACGACCCCCCCCTCTCTCTCTCACACACACACACACACACAGAGTATCAATCCTAAAGTCGCAGGAGAGCGCAGGGGCGCTGGGAGTGGGAAGCAAGAGAAGGAGAACGATCCCCCCCCTCTCTCTCACACACACACAGTATCAATCCTAAAGTCGCAGGAGAGCGCAGGGGCGCTGGGAGAGTGAAGGGGAAGCAAGAGAAGGAGAACGATGCCTCACACACAGAGAGACACACAAAGTATCACTCCTAAAGTCGCAGGAGAGCGCTGGGGCACTGTGAGAGTGAACAGGAAGGAGGAGGAGGAGAACGATAGCTCAAGCACACACACACACACACACACACACAGCCCCTACAGTGGCTGATCCAAAATCGGACAGCAAAAAACTGCAGGCAGGGACACGGGGTTGTTTTAAAGCAACCAGCCCCGATCTGCTTCTCTCCCTCCTCCCGGCTAGGCTGGCTGAAAAGCTTTGCTGCTACTTAGCAGCTCAGTGGAGAAGAGAGAGGGACATAGAGCACGGGGTTGTTTTAAAGCAACCAACCCCGCTCTGCTTCTCTCCCTCCTGCCCGGCTCGGATCGCTGACAGGAGCCGCTTACACCCGCTTTGCAGTTTCAAAGAGAGCCACGGACTGCTCACAACTGCAGCGGATTCCCCTGCCATCTGTAGGCATTCGCTCCATAACACGCACAGACATTTCCCCTTACTTTCCAGGAGGAAAAAAACTGCGTGTTATAGAGCGAAAAATACGGTACACTAAACTAACTACATAACATCTATTCATCATGTCAAATCCTCAGCTGAAACTTACTCCAGTATCTAAAACATGCACATTCTGTTCCTTACGCTGAGCCACTACCTGGAACACAATGCATCGCAGGGGGATTGCAGATAACATTATTTTATGCATGCCTACTTTGAAATAAGTTCCACCAAGTTCAATGGGGCTTACTCCCAGGTAAGAGGATCAAGTTGAAGCAATCCTAAGAACCCCTGAATGGCAGTCAAACCTGGAATAATGCAATTGCTAAAACCCCAAAAAAACCTACTGTTTTAGAACAAAATCAAACTGTCGTTGACTACCTTAATATTTATTTTATTTACAAACGAATGTTTATATATCTCCCTTTAGCAATCCTTTTGTGCCATTTACAAAAACATGCTAATACACAACATACTAAAAACAGCAATATATTAAAAAGCCTGGGAAAGTAAAAAGTCTTTGCTTGCACTGAAAAGATAGTAATGCTGGTATCAGGTAAGCTTCCCTTGGGAAAGAACAAATGGGGTACCACAACCAGAAGAGGCCTTCACTCTTGTCACCACACACCTTACCTCAAATGGAGAGAGCCCCAGAAGAGAGCTTCTGAAGACTCACTACATAGGCAGATTGATATGGAAGGTGGTGTTCCTTCAGGTACCAAGTCACATAAGGACTTCAGAAGTACTTTGAATTGCATGTGGAAAATGGACTAGTGAAGTTCTTCAGGTATTGGCGTAATACTTCTAAAATGATCAGTTACAGTTAGCAGCCTAACCACCGTACTGTGAGCCATTTGCAGTTTCTGAACCATCTTAAAAGGCAGCTCCATGCACAAAACATTGTATTACTCAATCCTAGATGTTACCTGGAATGAATAACTATGGCCAAGTTATTTCTGTCCAGGAGAAGCTGCAGCTGGTGCACCAGCCTACGCTGTTGACAGGCACTTCTTCCACAGAGCTTCCAAGGCCTCCAAGTAGAATGTTTGATCTAGGAGTACCCCCAAAATGTGTACTCAGTCCGAGAAGCTAATGAGGTGGCCTCCACATGTTATGCTACAGTTTCCATCAGTCCAAGTCAGCAGGTCAACTACGTCTTCAGGGTACCACATTAGCTACCTCTAGGGTGAATGTAACCCCATCCAAAACAAGTTGAACACTATCTCCCTGAACAGACAAAACACCTACTCACAGAACCTCTGTCTTGATGGGATTGAGTTTGCTTATTAACCCACATTCAGCCCATTATAGATTCCAGGCACCTCCTCAGCACTTCTACTCCCTCACCTGAAACTGATAAAACAAGAGACACACACAAAGTGCTGGGTGTCATCAGTACACTGATGGCCTTTATCCAAAAGTGTGATTTAGTTATGAAAAAAGTATGGAACAAGACAAAACACTATGAAACAGCAAAGAAGAAATTCTATGGGATCAAGCAGTAGTTCCCAACTATCACATTCTGGGAACAGCTTGAGAGGCAGAAGTGAACCAATCAGAACATCACTTCCATCTTCCAAACCAGGGTGGCCACCCAGAAGAATACTATCGTTAACGGTATCAAAAGTGGCTGAGAAGAACAGCAATATCTGGAGAGGGTGTGCAGTACAGCAGTTTAAAGGACAATTCTTGTTCTTTTGAACTCAATGGGCAAACGTATATTGATTTTAAGGAGTGGAAGATAACTCTCAACAACAAAAAGTGCAAGGAAAAACTACATAGGTACCTTCCCAGACACGTTTGTTAACAACTTTTGATTTTGATTTGTTTGTGGGGATGTTGTATGTATTTAAATCAAGCAAATGTTATCCCCTTTCAGTGTATTTCCCTTCACTTTTCTTATTGCAAAGGAATTTGTTTGTTGTACACAACTACGAAATCCACTATAATTGCTCAACCTAAATTTGCCAGTAGTCAGTGGATTCCAGTCCACAAACTAATGACAATTTGGAAGCAGCCAGAAATAGGGATTAGGTTGATCTTTATGGCAATTCCAACACTAGAAAATCTTGGTAAGTTTCCTTTTTATGAAATGTAGGCTAGGATAACTATCAAATGACAACCTTAAACATCTTACCTTGTTTTATCCTTTTTGTCTTTATCACTGCATGTTTCCAACTATTCTCGAAAAGGTGACCCCCAAATGATTTTCCGGAGACTTTTTTATCCAGGAATCTTTGGTCAGATTTTAGGATTGGCAATTTTTGTTCCTTTGGTGGCTGAGAAATGACAGGTCTGCTGTTTCAAACATCATAGTGAACACCAGAGGGGATACAAAAGCAAAAATAATAAATGCTTTTCACATGTTGTCTGTACAGACATTTCTCAAGTAGTAAGTGGGTCAACCAAGGATTGCTATATTTCAAACAAGCATTCTGTTGGCCTTCCCTTGAAGCTGATGGAATCTAGTCCAAAATGTTGGGGAAGACTGCCCTACATGATTACTCCTCAGAAGGATGCCTCTCCATGGCCAACTTACTGCTTCTTCAGAATTGTGCTACAAACTGTTTTCAATCAAATATTGTAACATTTAGCTACCTCTTTCCTTATCTATTTGTGAGAAACTACTCAATTTCAGCCATGGAATATTGGAGTGCTACAGAGAAAAGAGAAATGTTCTAGGGTGCACACCGAGCACAAGGCATTGTTCAGACATGTACAGCCTCACTATTACCCAGTATGATCTCTAGTGCATCTTTAGGCATACTCCAAATCAACAGCATGCATTTTACAGGGCTAGCAACAGGGATGGACAAACTGTTTCAGGAAAGTTTGCATTGATATTCTCAGTGAGAAAACCAGACAGATTGCCAAAGAAAGTTCAAAATGCATCGTCATAAAGAAAAGGATCCTATGCATACTAGAGGCAAATGTCCCTTTACTTTTAAAAAGTGCCTGTTTTGATAACTGCTACAGCTCTTATGAATCATCAAAATATGATGCTAAGCTTTCCTTATTGTAAATTCTTCTGTTGCAATCTAAACTTACAAGACCCTATCCCCTAAAATAGGAAATAATAACTCCAAATCTTTGGCAAAGAAAGGGCAGTACTTGTAGACATTTAAAAATATCAATAAACCCCCAAAGGTCTCAACAACTGGGAATAAAGAAGTTGAATAGAACAGGAAGTTGAATAGAACAAGGGAATATTTGGCTTTAAACTATAGAATCGAAAGTATTCCTGTGAACCAGCATCAGGCAATTTCAGCATCATGACTACATACAAGTCTGCTGTTCAGGTGGCAGATGCAGTAAGCAAGAGCAGCCTCTCAGTTACAAAGAGATTAACAATGCAATCTTCTACATGTCTACTTTGGAGCAGGTCTCACTTAGTTCAGTGGGTCTTACTCCCAGAATAATACAGTGATATAAGATTACAGACTTAACCACTCATCTCCATTAATGGGAGTGAGGAATGAGGAGTTAGGAGTTATGGAACGATGCTAAGATCAGCACTAGCACTTAGCTAAAAACCAGCCTCTTTTGAAATCAAGTTGGGTTGGGCTTCCATATTTTAAAAACACTGTTTCATATTTTAGAACACTAATTTTAGACCACTGGGCAAAGTTAAATAAATACTTACCATTCAGGGATGCACGAGATTTCTGGCAGCTTACCATTAGGAGCTTGTGAACCTGTAATATGCAAAGTCCATTCAGATTCAGTTACTCTATTTTCATACCAAAAGTTAAAGTAACATTACAGTTAAATATAGTTGCATTAAAAACAGTAAATATTTTACCAGTAATGGTAAATTTTGCTTTAGACAGCACACTCCCCCATTTTAATGATGCACTACAACATATTATTCAAACCAAAATTTGGTCAGAACACCGATTTAAAGGAGTGTGATTGGGATATAATATCTATTACCAAAACACTTAAGGAATTTTTATAGCTTATTTTGTCAGTTTATAAACCATCTTTCAGTAACAGGGTTCTCAGGCTGGCATACAAACAATACAATAAATCATAGAAGCTGCAGCAAAAACCTCAAAGATCAAGCAGAAAACACTAAAACGAAAAAATCTGCTGCAATTTCAGATGCCAAAAAGACATCAAAATTGGAACCTGTTACACTTCTTGAGAGAGAATATTACACATCAGAGGTACAACTGGGTCAGCTCTATATCCATTTATCATCAGTCGCACACAACTTAAAGCTTTATAGCAAGGCTGGGGAAGTGGATCTAGCCAGGAGGTGAGTTCACCCACCTATCAATCACCTGACACCAAAGTGATGTCAGGTGATCCATTTTTGGCACAGCCCACAAAACATCATCAACCAATCAGCTGCACTGGGCTTTGCAGGTGTGGATGATCAGCAGTGCCTGCAAACTTCTTTTTGGCTCAGGTGCACATATACCTGCTCTGCACCTGGTGTCATCATATATGATATTAGGTGTAAGGCAGGTGGGTATGGAGAGGCCTAGCATGCCTAATTAAGCCTGTAGACCAAAGATTCCCCACAGAAAGGTAACACTCTCCACTTTTAATTGTGCTTGGAAAGAGATCTAATGCAGCTATGTAAGCACAGGTGAGAAAGGAAGCATAAAGCTGGCCCCAATTAATTGGTCATACTGTATTTTGTACTCACTGAAGTTTCTGGGAAATTTTTAAAAAGTGAACCCTATGTACAATGCATCAAAAGGCATAGATTTCAAAGTTTGTTAGAAAAACATTTCTATCACATTTCTGATGGTCCCTTTTTACATGAACTATGATAAATGAAATTTACAGCCCCCTGCTCTTTCCAGCCTAGCAGCTGACTTATTCTAGCAAATCTAAATCAAATAAAGTATCCCCAAATCATCTCTCAAACCTACAAGTTTCTCAAGACCACACACTGTCTCTCCACTACCTCAGAACAAATACAACACACACAAAACCATACATACGTTAATCTGGGCCACCATACAATTTTGGGGAAATTACCCTTATGAGTCCTCATTGAAAACAGGCCAATTCTTATTCCCATTGCTCTATTTTACCACTGCTCATTTTGTTTCCTCGAGTCCTCAGAACTGTTAGGTATCTTTTACTTTCGGAGTGGAAGTCCCACGGCTTTGTTTGTGTCAGGTGCCATTCCTGCAACCCTGTTTTTTAACACAATATACCTCGGAATGATATGCAAAGCCCCACTGCAGGGTGAGAAGTGTTTCAAGCACGTGCAGAGTGCCCTTCCCTATCAGTCCCCACGTGATAGGGGAGTCGTTTCAGGCAGAGTTGAGCCCCAACATGCCTCTTCTCTTCAATACCCAGCATTTGCAAAATGCTTTAGGCTAGAATCCCGTGCTCTCTTCTTTGTGAATAAACCCCATTTAGCTCAATGGGACACATCGCCCTGTTAAGAGAGCGCCCGGGGAGCTTCACCTTAATCCCTCACAACAACCTCGTAAGGTAGACCAATTGGGTCGCCATGCTGCACGCACGCCAAGCAGGGAGAGTGGCCCACCAGCGCCTTCTGCAACGTCCCTTCCTTTTAGGGGAAGGGGGGGGGACTTGCAGCAGTTCCCCTCTGCCCCCCCGAACAGCCCCCCACCCCCAGCACTCACACGCACCCTGCTGTTCCAAGTGGATGCGCTGCTGGCTCCTGCTCATAGCGGCCCTTCCACCACCACCGCGCTCGCTCGGCGAAAAGACGGAGGAGGCTCAACGGCGGCCGAAGATTCGGTCCCCTCGCCTCTGTAGGACGGGAGGAGGCTGAGGCCCCTCATGGCCCTCCGCGGCAGCCGGCGCGCGAGACCCCAACGGCCGCATTTCTGCCCCCGCCTCGGCTACTGGAGCGCCGGCCCGCGGGCGCGGGCGGGCGAGCAGGCCTGCCGCTGGTTGCTAGGCAACGGAGGGAGCCGCAATAAAGAGGCGAGGCCTGGCCTTCATCGGGGCGGCGGCGAGGTGGCTCGCTGGGCCTTGAAGCTGAAAGGGAAGCCGCAGCTGAGAAGGCCCGTCGAGTGCCTTCTCTTACCCGCCTCGGCTTCCGACAACTGTTTCTGCAAGGCAGGCGTTCAACAGGCGAAGCCACCTGCTGCTGCCCTCTTTTGTTTTGGAAAAAGCCTCCCCTGTTGAATTTCTGCCACCTGCAATCAGAAAGGCTGATAGGGAGAGGCAGCATCCTCCATGGCCAAGGCCCGGAATGGGAGCTGCATTTAGTCTCTTACGGCAAAATCCCAAACTTCATGGGCATCGCAAAGCCTTTAAAGAGTTTCATCGTGGTGCACGTTGACTCAGATGGAATTGTCCTTGGACCCAGAATGTGGCGGTTCTCACCTTTAATGCTGGGCATTAGGAGCAGTGGTGAAGGCACACTATTCCCATAGCCACACCCTTTCTAAGACTATACTATAACCAAGAGTAATGTTTTGGATTAATAGCACACAGCTTAATTTTCCTCACACACCTCTCCTGTTTTGCTCAAGGTCTAGTCTGATGCCTTGTGGATTCAAATACATGCTCACTATTTTTGTGGCATGTTGCTTAATCATCATGAAGTAACTTTGGAGCTTTTCAAAATAAAAGTGACAGTTTAACCCTTAGCCATGCATGCTAATGTAATCTGCTGCTGCTTGGTTTATTTGGTGGGATTCTCTCTGAGTAAACTGGCTGCAGAGGATTGGCAAAGAGCATGCCAGGAGATGATTTCATTGTGAAATAAGTGGATAATAAATAAATAAATAAATAAATAAATAAATAAATAATTACTACTGCTACTACTGCACATAATTGCTGGTACTTCAGCAACTGTGTGGGTTCCCAGGTTGTTTCACAGCTTATTTCAAAGCATTTGAGTTGGTTGATTTTTTATCCAAGCACCAAGAGAAGGTTAGGATAGGAGTCCTAGAATGATAAGGATTCCATCAATAGGAAAGGAGAACAGCTGCAGAAACAGCAAAGGCACTGTTTACTCAGTGCTGCCCTGTCCACACACCCTAAGTGGCAATGTCAATGTGAGGTTCTAATCTGTTTTACCACGGGTGGGAGAAGTTTCGCCGTAGAAGTTATTTTATAACATTAAAAGGGACTGTCCTTTATTTCAGACAACACCATGGAACCATCGCAACGCTAAAGTTATGCAGTGCTATAGATTCCATGAAGCAAATAAAGTAAGTTCCATTATTTCCTTTTAAAAATAATGTTGTGACAATTCTAGCACGAACTAGGACAAAAAAAGGTCACAACACCAGCTGCTGAATGAAACGCAGTCATAATATAAGGATTTCAAAAGCACAAATCATTCCTTCAAAAGTGGTGTACATCTAAATCTCAGTTTATACATTTAGCACATTCACACAGTAAAGGTCTTTCTGAACTGTGCCACTTCATGTTGCAGGTGGGAGTAAATGTATGTTAAACCACTTTCCCATCAGAAAAATATACCACCAGTGAAAACAGCATAAAGGGGAGAGAATATCTTATTTCTACTTCAAATAAATTCCTAGCTGCTTCTTTGGCACAAGACTAAGCAAGGACAGATTGATGAATACTGACAAAAATCATGACACTGCTGTCTTGTCAAAAACTGGTTTGTGTCCTTTCATAGGAAACACAGGATTCCACACCCTCCCTCTGCATAATTCTGCAATTCAAGGTAAAATGTGCCACAACCAGAAATTTGCCATCTGGCTGTCTTGATATTCATGATTGCTTTTCTTTGTAGGATTAGCCACATAGCCCAGTTGCCCCACAGTCAATATTCTGGAACTTGTGTGCATAAAATTGGCCATATCGTGAATACTGAAAATATTTATGTGCACTAAAAGCTATGCATTTGTGTTTGTGTGATTGGAGGCATGAGCTTGAAAAGCCACGCCACAAACACAAAAGCATACCCCTTCAGCCAAGAGGTGAAAAGATGAGAGAATAGGACGGCAAATTTGATACACTGTCTGAAATACAACAGGTTCATTGATGACAAGCACCTCTGTGGAGAGGAGACACAGCATACTAGATTCTCAGTTACACAACGGGTGACACTCTAGAATCCTGGCTCAGTAAAGCAGAAACAAACAGTACAAGAAGTCTACATAGATGGGGATTTTGTCCAAAGCATTGGCACTTAAAGGTTCAATTAAGGTTAATGGAAGAGGAAAGGTAAGAAAGATGTCAAAAATAGGGATACTGGGTACAGAAATGCAAATACAGAATTACCAACAATCACACCATGCTTTTACATCTTGTGGTCAAGCTGTGGACAAAACAGCAGTCTGTGTACAGTATTTTTGCAACTGTTTGTGAAACGATGAGCAAAGTGTTTGTAAGACATTTTTGCAGAAATAGACCACCCTGAGATTACTGGTCATTCTGTATGTCTGCTTTTCTCTACAAAGTATAGCTATATTTAACACCCTACCTTTCCTGTCTTGCTTACCTAGTCTCATTAATATCTAGCTCTCACTCTCTAGCTTCTGCCTGCTTCTAGCTCAGCTGTCTCACACACTGGCGTTTGTCTTTCTCTCTACCACCCATTTGCTCTCTGGCATACAGCAACCCACTTTGTTATAATAAGGAACATACTTAGATGGTAACTATGGCCATTCTCTCACAAAGGGACTTGCCTGACCCATTCAACAGTGGAACAAATCCATTAGATTTTAACCCTTGCTGGATCCAGGATTCCAGGAATTACAAGGGACTTGGGTATCATGCAGGCTAAACCCCCAAACTCACAACAGTATTATATAAACAGATATAAAGACAGAAAGGTAGAAATAACAGGCTCAAATCTTAAGGGTCAGTGAAAGCCTGAAAAAAGACGTATATACATCTCTGAAGCAACTAATGGATGATGCTTTGTGTATGACAAAGGGAAGGGGTGTTGCAGAGTACAGGGACAATACACAATTAGTATAATTGTAGAGTTGGAAGGGACCCTGAGGATAATCTAGTCAGTTACCTGGACCTCCAGTGACAAGGATGAATATAGGAGACTACAAGCTATTGGTGGTGACCCTGCCACTGGTGGGTCCATTCCGCCAAACAGGATTCCTTTTAAGTCCTTGTCACCAGAAACCTGATGATGACATCAGGCAGAGGTGTCTGCTGAGTCAAACTGGCTGGCCTCTCTAGGAGCCAAACTCTCCTGCAAACGTACCACAGGCAGAGGACAAGAAGACAGCAGTTGTTAAGGAACACCTTTCCCTGTCTACCCAGATAAATGGTCCTCTCTTCTTTCCATTCTCCTGCTGGGTGTGCACGTGTGTGTTAGCATCCAGAGCCCAATACATTTTCTTTTACTTACTTGCTTCTTGCTTATATGTTTGACCTTTGAATGTTTCTTAAAATTTGCTGATCTATGCAATGTTTGATTTGTCTTCTGCAGGGTTCTCACTTTGCAAACCTTCAGTTCCTAGTTTCATAAATTACAATAACAAAATTGCCAAAAATAGAAGCCATTATAAGTCTTTTTTCTCCCTTAACTTTTGTTTTTCATTAAATCAGTTAAATCTGTTGTCAAGTAACAAAAAGACCAACCTGGCTTATTAGTTCCTTTTATATTGCACAGAAGAGAAATAAAATGCGGGCAAATGTTGCATTTCCCATGGATTTATAGATAAATTTAACATATCAAAATGAGAAAAAGTCAATAAAACCAGTTTCTTATTTGTTAAAAAGGGGGTGGGGATTGCTTGGGCATTTTATCAGGCCATCGGGACCTGAACCTAACACCTCTAGAAGGCCCAAGTATGTAAAAAAGGCAACACCTAATGGAACTTTAAACTCAGCTATGTCTAATTGACTGGAGATAAGTCAAACATTGCTACACTAGGGTAGAGATTTATATTTCTAATTGAAAACAGGTGCAAAATAGGATACATTCTATGCCGGTGTTACCAACACAAAGCAGTGAGAGGAGTTGCCATTGTAACAGTACACAACCTTGTAACAGCTATCCGACCACAAAAACCAGTGTGGCTGCATTTTGGTTGCTTGCTTACTTTGGGGGCAGTTCCCAGAATAGCAAGAGGTATATATTTGTTTTAAAAGTTAGAGGCTGGAGGTCAGGGATGCAGAACCTCAGGCCTGGAGGCCAAATGCAGCCTCCTGGGCCTTTCTATTTGGCCTTTGGGACTAAAACAGGTTGTGCCTCCCCATTAGTTTCCATAGCTTTGGATTCAACATAGAGCATCAATCATACACGGACCAGCTCTGCTATTGTCCTAACTTCAAGATGATGTCACTTCCAGCCAGGTGACAGGGTGGAGAGAATGAATCATCCCATCACAACATGGCCCATTAGGATGCTAACAGAGGCACTTACCTGGGTCAGCTATGGAACTGGTTTGTTTGGTTCAGCAATCAGGTTTCTTTTTGTAGATTCTAACCTCACAGATACAGAATCACAGGTTTGGAAGGGGCCCACAGATATTATCCAGACTACCTCTCCAACCCTATAGCAAAGCTTCCCTGGTGTCGGGCCACTTTGGTATCATTGATTGCATGACTTTTATTTGGAGATCCAGCAGATAAGGTAAAGGTAAAGATACCCCTGCCCTTACGGGCCAGTCGTGTCCGACTCTAGGGTTGTGCGCCCATCTCACTTAAGAGGCCGGGGGCCAGCGCTGTCCGGAGACACTTCCGGGTCACGTGGCCAGCGTGACGAAGCTGGTCTGGCGAGCCGGCACCAGCGCAGCACACGGAAACGCCGTTTACCTTCCCGCTATAAAGCGGTA